AATTTCTCTTCCTTTCTTTTTTTGCATGAAAAAATTGAAATAAAAAATCTATTTATCAAACTTGACTTATTAGTAGTGGAAGATCAGCCTATGTATACATATTGATATCAGATTAAGGCCCATTAACATATCTACATAAGGCCCAAATAGAAAGTCAAAAAAGCCCAATGGGCTTCCCCACAAAACTTGGTCAAACTCAATGCGAAATGACGCTTTTACCCCTGCAATTCCACGCTTACAGTTTGCATGCAATCCATCTGTCCCTCTCTCCACTACACACACATATACATACATATGTATATATATATATATTTGCACAAATAAATTTTTTCAAAATTAAAATAATCCACAATGTCTTCATCATCAATTTCTTTCGTCTCTTCCAATTTCATGAAAAATTCTGTAAAAATCCCACTCTCCAAACCCTACAAAATTTCCCAAATAAATTTAGCCAAACGCGGCCTCTCTGCCGCTGCCCCATCTGCCCGGATAGTCCTCCGGGCACACGATCCCGGAAAATCTCCGCCGGAGATTCCCAACTACCCGCCGGAAGTTCCACCGCCGCCTGATAACCCGGAAGTAGTTCCGACTCCGCCGGAAATTCCCGCGGCGGAGCCACCAGGTCCAGAGTTTCCAGGGCCTCTGGAGCCGGAAGCGCCGCCGCCGCCGCCAGAGGTGACTCCTCCGATGCCGGAAGCGCCGCCGCGGCCTGATATTCCGCCGCCGATCGTGGGTTCAAACGGGCTTGTTTGTTAAGAGTTACGTTAATTTCGGGGCATGCTGTTTATATGCTATTTCTTTTTTCCGTTGAATAAATTAATTATAATAATTATTATTATTATTTCAAAATGCACTCTTTTATTTTTTTCGAAATAATTATTGCATGTTTTATTTATTATATATTGAATTTACGTATTTTTTTAAAATCTATTTATAAATTTATTATTTTTATTGGAGATAGACAATGTCCTGATGTATATATTACTTCAATCTTTTATTTTGCTTGCATTCCTCCTCTTACCATTCAAATCTATGTTCTTTTTTTTTTTTTTTTGTTTTATATTGAAAAATATTTTTTTTACTTTTTAAGTAAAAAATTATTACAATTTTTTTTTACTATAAAAGAATCTTTATTACTCACTTTTAATTTTTTATTAAAAGAATCCTTATTACTCATTTTTTTATTGCTTATCTACTATTAAAAAAAAAAAAAATCACCCTTTTATTTACTTAATACTCCCTGCCTCCGTCCCACTTAATTTGTCAGTGTTTCTTATTTTCGTCCGTCTCACATTGTCCTTTCTATTGAAAATATAATTATGCACTTTAATCGTATTTTAAATTTTAAATTTTATAATTTTCTTAATTTTAATTAAATTATTTATTTATTTTAATCTTAATTTATAATTATTTTTACTAGTATATTTTTTAATTACTTACTAATTATACTTTACCTAAATTCATATTACATTGGGAGTGTTGGTCTAATTGGGTATGTAACAATTTTGAACAAAATGAGTGTTTATTTTTTGTCTTAAAAAAATGATAATTATAATATTGTCCATCAACAAAATGGGCTGATTTTTATGGTAGTTCATATTAGATGGAGTCAATGTATTGTTATGGCCCAATCAAATCAATTTAACCAAACAATATATATAGAAATGCACTACTTTATTTTTTTTTTTTGGTTATGCTATTGTTACTCATTTTGGATATTTTTAAATTTTACTTTAAATAATTATTGAGTATCATATTTTATAGATATAAAGATTCATAGTTAAGTAAAATAGTAAAAAATGTAAAAAAAAAAGAAAAAAGAAAAAAGACCATTATCTTTGTTATTTTACAATGCTGATTTAAAAAATCAATATTGGGTTATTCAGACTACATAAAATACCAATTAAAAATTCAAAAGCATATGCTCTTTTAAATAAAAATATATATATATATATATATTGTTTTGGATATTTGATCCATATTTTTTATGTGCTTTATAAATTTATATCATATGTTTTTTATACCTCACTCCACCCCAGCCATTTATTTAATATATTTATATATAATATAAAAATTAATAGAAATCGTTAAAATATTTTGAAAATTAAAATTTATTTGATTTTAAATTAAATCAAAATTATTATTATTAAAATATTATTTAAATAAAAAATAAATGCAATATTTAAATTCAAATTAAAACCAAATAGATTTTTAATTGTGAGAATGAAATAATTTTAATGATTTTTTTTTTTATTATTATTAAAACTAAAAATTTCTTTTAAAAATAAATGTATTGTGTTTAATTTCAAACAATAATTTTAAAAAATATCTATAGTATATAATCACGTTATTATTTGTCAATATTTTTAAAGAAATTCAACATGTGTATATCATATTATGGTTTACTGAACAATGGTTACTAAAAAATCTGACTTAAAAAATATAATTTTTAAAATCTGACTGAAATATATAATAACAAAAAATAAGTAAGTATATATATATAAATTAAATAAACTATATTATCTTTAATATTAGTCCCTGACTATACGGATTTTAAATTGATGCTTTATGAATTCTTAATTAGTAATCCCTGTTCCGGATAATTTGGACTTATTAATTTAAATATGAGAATTTAGAAAAATATAATTAGTAAATAATTAAAAATATATTAGTAAAAATAATTATAATTTAAAATTAATTTAACTAAATAATTTAACTAAAATTAAAAATTAAAAGAATTAAAATTTAATTAACATTTATAATTATATTTTTTTAAAAAATAAAGTGACAAATTAGAGGAAGAAGTTAAAATATGAAAATATATGAAGGACTTTTTTGATATTGTACCAATTAGGAAAAAGTTTTGAATCACGAGTTTTGTCATTTTCTATTCTTCATTTTCTTGGACATTGGGACAGCTTGCTCCATTATTAACCCTATCTTTACTCAGATCATTTAATCTTCTAGAAATTAGGGTATCTGTTGCTACTGTTTTAATTTTGATTGATACTATATTTTTATTATTTTTCAAGTTTTTTTTATTTCATTTGAAATTAAATACCAATTCCGTCCTAGAACTATAGTTTTAATTGGGTTGAGTACGAGATTCATAAAATATTGATATTATATTAGTGGTTGGTAAAAAATATGGATAAAAAACTTTTTTGCTCCTGTGAATGTATTAGTGTAAAAAGTAGTGACAATTGTGTAATAAAAATAAAAATGTAGGGATAGTTTTATGGTGGTATGGTTATTTATGGAATTAAGGATATTGTTTTGAAACGGATAGAAATAGTAAATAAGACTATTGTATTGGGACATAAGGAATATTTATTTTTATAATGGAATTTAATAAATATTACTCCCTCTAGTCCCATGTATCGTGTCTGGTTACTGTAGACGCGAAAATTTTAAATAAATATAATTAGTAGATAATTAAAAATATAGTAGTAAAAATAATTATCTTATAATATAAATAATTATAAATTAAAATTAAGATAACTAGTTAGTTTTATTAAAATAAAAAAATTATAAATTAAAAAATTTAAAACGAGATTAAAGTGTATAATCAATTTTCAAAAGAGAAAAATAACATGAGATATGAGACGGATAAAAACGGCGACGTAAACACAGTAAGCAGAACAGAGAGTATATTTTAATAATAATTAATGATAGTTTTAATATATAAATATTATTTTATCTATATAATGTGTAAAGTTGGTGTATATAACATATATAGTGTAATTCATACATATTGAAAGAAAATAAATTTTTTTATTTGGATTAACTAGACGGAGGAAACATTACATTATATATATATATATATATAGTACACATTCAAAATTTTTAATTTTTAGTTTCTCATTAATTAATAAATAGATATATTTATATACATTCAAAAGTTTTTTTTTAATTTATTTTTAAAATTAATTTATTTTAATTATAATTTATAATTTTTTATATGTACTAAATTGTATTTTCTAGAGAATACTCCCTATGCCTCTTTTAAAAGGGAGTTTTTGGTATTTTGTAGCAGATGAAAATAACATAGTATTTTATTGGTTAGTGAAAGTGGTAAGATATTTTGATATTTTTATTATTTGATTTTTTTGTATAAAGTAATTATATGTGTAATAGTATATTTTTATTTAAGTAAAAATTAATGGCATTTTGGTATTTTTTTTTTTAAATAAGAAATGATACTTTAAAATGAGACTGACGAAAATAGTAAAAAATGTAGTTTTAATTGAGACGGATGAAATAACATTTTATTGATTAGCGGAAGTGTATAAGAGATTTTGATATTTTTATTATTTGACTTTATGTATAAAGTAATTGTTTGTAATGATATACTTGTACGTAAAAGTTAAAGTATTTTGGTATTTGTGTATAATTATTTTTATTAAAATAGAAAGTAAATATTTTAGAGTGAGATGTACGAAAATTATAAAAAAATAATTTGAGTTGAGCCGTAGAATATATTAAAATAGAATATGTAAAAATATTAAAAAATTAAATTAATAAATTAATAAAAATGATATGATAAATAAAAAGTACTGACAAAATTATTATTAATTTTTGAAGTAACGGTAATAAAATTATGAGAATTAAATATTTTACTATAAATACTATATATATAATTCCTTCGTTTCTAATATCACATTTATTTTTTGCGTCATTCTACTTGTATTTAATATTAAAAATATTTTTATATTTATATAATTTTTGTACATATATTATTTTATTATTATTATAAGACACTAACGAAAGTATTTTTGTAATTTTTTTAATTTATATTATATTTTTTATATAATAATCAATATTTAATTATTAACATCCAAAAAAATAAATAAGATCTCAGAGCAGGAAGGATGTAGTATATAAATTGTGCGGACACAAAAAAAAGTACATATAATTTGGCTGATCCTTGAGTATTAATTTTTTCCATCCGGTTCTCTCCGGTTCGAGGTGAAAACGCTACTGCTAAAACACGTTTTCGTAACTGTAAAAAAGCGCACATCCTCCCGGCGACTGGTGCAGGCATTTCCGTTATTACTCGAGCATTGGGAAATCAATGGCGGAGACAGCATCTCAACCTTTCCTTCAATTCCACGATATTCTGCAATTAAATTCCCCAAACGAAGAACAAGATTGCGAAACCAATTGATTCAACCCCCAAGATAACCCAATTCCCAATCTACCGTCGCACTGATTTCGAGCGTTCAGATCACCGCCCAAATGGCCACTTATTTCAGCCCAGCCGCGTGCTCACGCGCCGCCGTCGCCGCCCCGCCCCACCGCCGGCAATTCGGGAGCCTGTTTTCCCTTTTCAGTAAGGGAAGTCTCTGCCGCTCTATAGAGCTTCTCCGGAAGCACAACGCTGCGGTAAGGTTTTCAACTATCAAGGCCGCCGGCAATGGGGGCGACTCCTACTTGGACATGTGGCAGAAGTCGGTCGACCGTCAGAGGAAGAGTGTGGAGTTCGAAAGAATGGCGGAGAACTCTACCGAAGGAATGGAAGAGAGAGGAAAAGCAGAGAGCGAAGATGATTTGGAGAGGAAGAGCAGCGAATTCCAGAAGCTTCTAGAAGTTCCGGTGGAGGAAAGAGATAGGGTCCAGCGAATGCAGGTGATTGATCGTGCCGCCGCCGCGATTGCCGCAGCGAAAGCCTTGGTGAAGGACAAACCGCCGGAGGTTCAATTTTCCGGCCAATCAACGATCGAGGATCAACAGGAAGGTAACTGTAACATCGAAATCATTTGCCCTAATTTTGATCTTGTTAATTTGCGAATTTCCATTTTCTTGCGATTAGGATCATAAATTCAACTGCGTCAAGTTCATACAACATCTGCAAATTCCTTGATGCTTACACAGGATTACCTTTTGGCTTGAATCTTGTGATAGATTTCAATCTTAGAATTTGGCATTAGCATATTGAGCTTGTTTGTGTGATCCATCAAGTGTCGAAGCTGCCGCAGGCCGCCGCATTGCTGGTTTTTCCGATAGTTTTGGATCATTTTAATGTCTATTGTGTCAAGAATATAGATCAAATCGAACATTTGCTGTCGTGTTGGTTTTAGTGGCTGAATTACCTGTTTCTTCGATAGTTTTGGATCATTATAATGTCTATTGTATCATTTGCTAAGAATGTTGCTACGATTGAATCGAATATTCGCTCTTGTGTTGGATTTAGTGGCTAAATTGCCAGTTTTTTCGATAGTTTGGGATCATTTGCTTAGAACGTTGCTATTAGTCGAATCGAATATTTGCTGCCGTGTTGAATTTAGTTTCTGCATTTTATGTTCGATAGGGAGGCGGGGTGTTGAATCGGAGGTGGTGCAGTCAGGAAGCGTGAATGTTGGGACACCTGGTCCAAGTTTCTGGGAGTGGGCGCCGCCGCCGGAAAATGATGACAAGAGTGGTCTGAAACCTGTTGTTCAAGCTTCCCCGTCTTCCGGACAAACCAGCAAACCGGTTATGGAGCGTGACCGTGGTCCGAAATTCTTGTCGCTCCCATTCGAGGCGAAAATGCTCAAAAACCGCGCGAATCCTCCCCTTCCACCTCTGCAATCGCTTGTCGAGGTTCAACATGACGGAGTCTCCGGCGCGACTCCGGAAAGAGAACAAGAAGTTGGCGTCGAGTTCTTGACAAATGCAGCTGAAGCCGTCGACGCGTTGAGTAACCTGGAAGAAACCTCCCAACAAGGGGTGAGTCCCGACGGGTCGAGATGGTGGACGGAGACGGGAACGGAGCGACGCCCCGACGGGGTTATCTGTAAGTGGACGCTGACCCGAGGGGTCAGCCACGACAAAGTGACGGAGTGGGAAACCAAATATTGGGAAGCTTCGGATGCTTTTGGATATAAGGAACTTGGCTCCGAGAAGTCGGGGCGCGACGCCATGGGAAATGTTTGGCGCGAATATTGGCGGGAATCAATGATGCAGGTTAGGCATTTTTCTTCGCGTAGAAAACCGACTACGAGTTATATAGACTTTGCTCAGATAGAAGTTGAGTTTTGAAAAATTTTGGGAATAAGGAATATTAGAATTATATTGAGACGAAGTAGAAATAAAGTAGAAATGATTAAAATAATCTTATTAGTATTATGTAATACAATGTAATGATATTTGCGTAATACTTTATCGTCTTAAAACCACGGTGGGTGTAAAAGCGTTTTTAAAAGATTAAAATACCCAATACTTTATGTAATTATTGTGAAAAAAGCGGAGATAGTTTTGTAAAAAGCTGAAAAATTAGTTATCAAAAATTGAAATAAGACTATTGTTTTGGGACATGCGAAAATGGTAAAATGAGACTATTATTTTGGGACAGATAGAGTATATTGTAAGTTGTAAGGGAATTTATATTGCTAAATATAAAGTACAATTATTAAAAAATAAAATTGATACTTTGTTATAAAACGGACCAAAATGGAAAAATGAATAGTTTGTTAATGGACGGATGAATGTATGATATTTTTCGAAAAGGTTACTATTGATAAATAGTGTGAAAAATTCTAAAAGTGCCTGCGTAAACAGAGTCAATCTTTCGATTCTTAACTTGCTTATGCTTTGTAGGAAGAAGGGATAATTCATCTCGAGAAAATGGCGGATAAGTGGGGGAAGAACGCGCGGGGCGACGAATGGCAAGAGCAATGGTGGGAGCATTACGATCACTCGGGGCGAGCCGAGAAGTGGGCCCACAAGTGGTGCAGCATCGATCCGCAAACTCCCGTCGACGTAGGCCACGCCCACGTCTGGCACGAGAGGTAACTGACAGATTCCTGCATAGACAGTGATTTAGATGTGATATTTTGTAAGATGATCCGTCCGCTCGGTCATTACAGGTGGGGCGAAAAATACGATGGGAAAGGGGGGAGCTCGAAGTACACGGACAAATGGGCCGAGCGATTCGAGGGCGACGGGTGGGCGAAATGGGGCGACAAATGGGACGAGCATTTCGATCCCGACGCGCGCGGCGTGAAGCAAGGGGAGACGTGGTGGGAGGGCAAGTATGGGGAGCGGTGGAACCGGACGTGGGGCGAGGGCCACAACGGGTCCGGTTGGGTTCATAAGTACGGCAAGAGTAGCAGCGGCGAGCATTGGGACACGCACGTTCCGCAAGATACGTGGTACGAAAAATTCCCGCATTATGACTTTTATCATTGCCTCGATAACTCGGTTCAGCTGCGCGACGTTCGTAAACCGTCGGAATAGTCGGGAGTAGAGAGATCTGCTCGAAATTCCGACGGTGTTTGTGCTAGTTGAAATGAGTCGAACCGAGCTAAACTCGGAATATATGTTTTTAAAATATTAGGATTAGATGGTATTGAGAACTTTGGAATAAAGGATGTGGAATAGCTTCTACGTCTGTGGAAATCTATTTCCTGTTAAAAGTTTGGTTTTTATTTTTATTTTATTTTTTTATTTTTTTATTTTATACTTCATTTATTTTGGATTTGTTTTTTATTTACATATTATTTTCAAATAGAAATAGAATTCTTCGTAATATTAAGGTAAAATCTCATCATTTTCTACGTCAATATTTTTTGTGTTTTAAAAATTACGTAACACTCTCTTATGCTTTAAAAACGTTGCATTAAATCTTATCTCTATGAAACTTGTGATGATGATTTTTTATTCATATTTTTTTTTGCATGATGGGATTTCAGGTAATATTTTTGAAAGTATAAGAGGACGTAATACAATTTTTTTAAAAATAAAGTGGAGATTTACACTGAGTTTTGAAACTGCAGAGGATATGCAACGTTTTTTGAAAGTATAAGGAGGGTTTTATGCAATTTTTAAGTAAAAGAAAAATTTACGCTGAATTTCGAAAGACAATAGAATTGTAGACAATTTTGCTTAATATTTTTATAACTTTTAATAATTTAACAAAAGAATTTGTGATACAATTCAAAATCAAAATCCAAAATCTTATAATTTAGAATTTACATAAAAATTTTATTTACAAAATATATTAAAAAGTATACAATTTATGTATACTATCGTATTCTATAATATATTTTTTATAAAATAAGTTATAAATTCAAATTACGCCAAAAACATTAGCGAAAAGGTTATTATTGGGAAAATTATTTGTAGATTCATAGGACCACTTAATACCAAATTTGGATAAAAACAAAAAATCATTTTGCTACTTTCAATTCATTCCATTTTTATTCAATATTAGATTCACATACACAACTTTTATTTTTAATTGTTAGGTTTGAATTTGAGATGATTTTTTTTTTTTTACTATTCATTTAATACAATTTATAACAAAATATATTTTAAAGAAAAATTGTAAAATATTATACATATATATATTATATTATTACTTTTATCTTTTATTTATTTTGTTGATAAAATATATTTTATATATTTTAAAAAATTATAATTTTCATATCCTAAATTCGCATGAATGACATGTGTAATCTTATTTTCAACATTCTAATTCCCCGTTTCAATACTCCATATTGTTTTTTTTTCCTTTTATTTTATTTTATTTAATACAATTGATTATCTTATTCAAACTTTCACAATAATTTCAAATTTAAAATTTTCATTGAACTGTTTTTATTTATAATTTTATGATTTTTCTATTTTTTGTTTATATGTTATTGTATTTGTTTATTTTATATTTTTATATATGCATATATTTTCTTATAAGTGTTTATAAATGTGATTATTTATATTGTTTGAATTTTTATTTTTTTTTTGTATTAATACTTAAAAAGTTAGCTTATTTGCCAATTAAAATTAGATTGAAGAAACTTTTAAAAATATTATGTAATATGAAGATTAATAATTTTAATATCGAGATTAATTTAAAAAATTAAAATAACTTTTTACTATTTAATATTTAAATTGATTAAAAAAATTAAAGTAATTTTAACTTTTTTCGAAATGTAGGGTGTGTATGTTTTATTATATAATTTGAATGAATATTTTTTGATGTATAGTATGATAAAATTTGTAAATAATATAAATATAATGAATGTATGTGATATATTAATATTTTTAAATAATCGTGTAAAAAATAAATAAAGAGAACACAAAGTATCATAAAATCTAAAAAGATATAAAATAGATTTATTACTGTATGTTATAATACATCATAATATTGTTTTCATAATTATTAATTATAGATAATACTTATAAATAAAGATATAAAATAAATTTAATAAAGTTATTATAAATTTTATAAAATTATGTAACTATCTTCATTTATGTAGTTGACAAAATATATTTTACATATTATAAAATTTGTATTTTTTGTAATCATAATATGCCACGTGACCTTAAACATTGAAGAGGGCCAAAGTGAGTGAGATTAGTAGGACATGAAGATCACACATAGCTCGGATACGAAAAACCTAATTTTTAGGAATGTGCAAAGTATATTTGCCTACAAGGTAAATATGAGATAAAAACAATAATTGAGTATATATATAATATTTTTGCAAATTTTCCATTTAATTGATGTTATTTTTAAAATATTTTGGAGAATTATGATATTGTTTGAGTAATGTGATTTTTATTACTCTTATAATACTACTTGCGTCCAATCACAAAGTACACAGTGACATTTTTGTATTTATATTTGAATATTAATTATTATATCAAAATATAGTACAAATAAAGATAAAAAGATAAAAATACATCTCTCTTATAATGCAAATATAATGATATTTGTTGAGTAAATCATATAAATATAAGGATATTTTAAATGTTAAATACAATGACGTAAAAACATTTGTTTACTTCCTGGCTGGACGGAGGTAGTATTCTATTGAAAAACATAGTGTGTTTATTTGTAATATTTTTATTTTGGATTTTGATTTTGAATTGAATCGGTGGTTTAATGTAATATAAATATATATTGTTGTAATAGTTTGAATGTAAAATTAAATTTTAGTATAATATAATAAATCAAAAATAAATATTTAACGTAATATTTTTTTTGAAAGAATTAAAATTGTAAAATCAAATGCAAAATCTTATAACTAAACACAAAGATATATTTGTAGACACTAAAAATATATGTCTAAAATCAATTAAATATCATGTATTTTGGAAGAAAATAAAATTCCAATAAAATAAATATATAATATTTAATTATGTACATATGTTAATTTTTGTACAATAAATATCAATCATTAATGCAAAAATCTGTTTAAAATGAAAGATATCGTACAAATATTACGTGCATAAATTGAGTCATAATAAATTTGGCAGCAAAATAAATTAATCTTATCAATAAAGGAAGTATATAAATTAATATATTCCGAAAAAGGGCAATGATATAAAGATCTTGGCGAGAAAGGAAGGTGCACAATCAAATCTGTCAAGAATGAAAAAGAGCATCTGATGGAAAAGGAAATATTATTCTTATTGGCCAATCAAAACGCGCCACGTGGCACCATTAAAAAAGGAAGCCGAAGCCACCCATCCCCTATAAATAGGAGCCATGGCCAGTTCATTTGAGACACCGAAGTTATATGGAGGATTCAAGCAAAGGGGTAAATTTCTAGACTCTCTCTGTATTGGTCTTCATGTTCTTCGTGTCCTTCGAAGCGTCACTAATTTGGACAAATGATCCAATATTGGTTGACGAATCGACGAAGTTAAAGTTCTTCGTTGTATGTCCAAGCCGGAGGAAGGATCAAAGTTCTTAAAGCCGTTGAGGAATTCATCAAAGCCTCCAAAGTTACCCTCAAAGCTTCAAGATGTTCATCACATTCTTCAACAAAATATCAACTAGGCCATTTTCGATCCAAAAGTCAAAAGGACACGCCGTCAAAAGTGTTATGGAGCACCAAATCCACCTTTTCAAGGATCAAAGCTCCAAAAGCAATTGAAGAGTCCATCGAAGCCAAGGAAGAGCATCCAAAGTTCATCCCAAACCTTCGAGGTGTTCATCGCATTCTTCACCAAAGCAACAACTCCGCCCTCTTCGATCCAAAAGTCAAAGGGACAAGCCGCCAAAAACGTTATAGAGCACCAAATCCACCTCCTCAAAGATCAAAGCTGCGGATCGTCCAAGGAAGATATCAAATCCAAAGTTGATGATCAAATCACCCGCGCGGAAACCAAAGCCCTCCAAAAGCGGCAAAGTCAAACCAAAGATCAAAGCCTCAGATCGTCCAAATAGGACATCAAATCCAAATGCGACGATCAAATTGCCCGCACGGAGACCGAAGCTCTCCAAAAGGCGGAAAAAGCAAACCAAATATCAAAGCCGCGGATTGTCCAAAGAAGACAATAAATCCAAAGCAGATGATCAAATCGCCCACACGGAGACCAAATCTCTCCAAAAGGCGGCAAAAGCAAACCAAAGATCAAAGCCGCGGATCGTCCAAAGAAGACACCAAATCCAAAGCCGTTGATCAAATCGTCCACACAGAGACCGAAGCTCTCTAAAAGGTGAAAAAGGCAAACCAAAGATCAAAGCTGCGGATCGTCCAAAGAATACATCAAATCCAAAGCCGATGATCAAATCGCCCACACGGAGACCGAAGCTCTCCAAAAGGCGGAAAAGACAAACCAAAAATCAAAGTTGCGGATCGTCCAAAGAAGACATCAAATCCAAAACTGATGGTCGAATCGTCAACACGGAAACCAAAGCCCTCCAAAAGGCGGCAAAGCCAAATCAAAGATCAAAGCCTCGGATCGTCTAAAAAAAAGACATCCAAAGTCGAGGATCAAATCGCCCGCACGGAGACCAAAGCTCTCCAAAAGCTGGCAAAGTCAAATCCAAGACCAAACCTCTTCGGATCAAAGAAGCCATCGAAAACTAAGTTGAAAAACAAATCGACTCGGAAGGAGAATCAAAGGACCCATTTAGATAATAGGACCAGCTTTAAATTCAAATCAAATATAATTTGTATAAATTTATGTGTTTATTAAAAATAACACAATTTTTTGTCCACAATATTATATTAGGGTATGGATCAGTTGCTATCTGTCAAGTCAACATGATGCTAATTTGACCGGATCAACATAGTTATACATGTAATGAACATATATTTATATATATCTCAACATATTTATTATATATATTAATATTATAATTCGATATATGTTATACCATTTATAAATATATGTCGGTTATGCGTATGACATATATTGATCTGATCAAATCACCATCAGGATAACTTGATCGGATCAACACAGAATGCACGACTATATATTTTTTGTATTATCGGACATGTTTGTGTTTGTGTTTTGTATTTGTAATTTGTATTGAAAGAGAAGTTTTAAAATAATGTTTTATTAGATAAAATAATACTATATTTTTATATAAAATTTAAAATAAATTAAAAAATATATAAAAAAGCCTCAAAGTTCTTTGTTTTTGTGGTGTCATTTTATTTAGTTATTTTTTAGGTGAAAATAATTATTAGATATAATTTTTTTTTTTTTTTAAAAAAATGGTTAGAAAATTGGATAGTAAAAAAGCATTCCCTTTATTTCGAAAGTCTTTCTTTAATTCTTGTGTGTTTGTGTTTTTAATTTTCTTGCATGCAACGTCTCGAACATTTTCCAACATATTGTGTAAAGGCACCAAATTCCGACTTGTATTTTTTTAAGACAACTATAGTCTTATAATATATATATATATATTCTTGTAAAATTTTTTATTCCATTTTGGCTTGGAAAGTCAATGTGTTACTTTTTTTTTGTAGTTTAATTTATTATATTTTGGTTTACTTTTTATTTGAATGATAATTTGAATGGAATATTTTGTAAAAAAATTATATATATATATATAATTATAAATAATAATTGTATAATACAAAAATACTATAACCAACTCCACACACTAAAAAAGTGTGAAGTACTTTAGGATATTACTAAAGATTAAGAGATGCTTGTTCGTAGAAAATGAACATTTCTTGCTTGTGTTTTCATTGTTTTTGGTGTTTTGATTTATTTTCAAGAAAATAACAATAATTTAAATAAAAATTATTATTAACATGATATGTTTAATAGAAAATAAATATCGAATATAATTTCAATGGAAAGTTATGGCTGCAACAAGAGAATGCATTTATTTATTAATAGTCGATAAAATTTTAAGAACATATTGAATGTAATAATATATATCATTTCATCCGCCAAATTTATAGACATTTCTTTTTAAGTTACAAAGAAAATATTCCTAATTTGACCGACTAAGGAAGTATTAATTATAATCAATTTCAATATAATATTGATTAATTAAGAAGATAATAATGTAAATCTTAAATTTAATGTTGAATGATATAAAATTGCTATAAAACTAAATAAAATTTATTGAACAATGATCAGTTTCAATGCCATATAAAATTTTATAGTCATGAAAAAATTATTTAGGCATATTTTAATTCAAATATGAACTTTACTTATAATTCTTTATTTTTATTTTATTTTTTATTATTATTAGATATCACGTCAGACCATTTATTTGAACCAAAATTTAAATAAAAAATTTCAAACTCAAACCAAAACTAAAGTCAAACAAACTCATAGTTTTTAAAATCGTTAAAATATAAAATATATATTATATCTTAATTAACTTACAACAAAACAATATTTCATTACTTAACAATATGAATATATATATTTTAAACGACTTCGTCAAATTCATTAGTTTTGTTCGATAAATTTCAAAATTGATTGTGAATTTTAAATTAACATCCTTTAATATTTTAAATATTTTTTTTTATACGATGTCATTTCGAATACCTTCTACAATCAAATGACGTATTTTATGAAGTATTTCAAATTCTAAGTAATTTATACCAATTCATTTAAAATTCACAATCAGTTCCCTATAAGTTTTTTTTTTTATTTTTTTATTTTTTTACTATACAACAATCGTGATTTTATTTTAACTACTAATTATTTTATCTTATCCATTAAGATTTCATATATAATTCAATAATTAATGTCTACTTAGCGGCTGCGGATTCCCATGTCATAATAATAATAATAATAATAATAATAATAATAATAATTAATGTCTACTTTAATTATTTTGACAATGTAAGAGTTCATATTACCTAATCCCTTAGGATCTAAGAAATGTTTTGTAAGTTTTATAATAACAAAAATATTTAACTTGCATGTATTTTTAGATAATATTAAGTTTAGTAAGTTTAAAATAAGAGCACACAAGTTTTTTTTGGTTTGTTTATTTATTTATTTTCCCGTTTAAGGTATTGTGTGCGCGTAGTTGGTAATTATTTTTAAAATTTGATTTTGATTATTAGTTTGAATATGATATTTTGTAATAAAAAATTTAATTTTATAAAGAATCGTTAGAATGAAATAATAACAAAAAGATTAATTATCAAATGAAAAAGAAGTCTAAAATGACTTCTAAAATGGACACAACAAACACAAAAATACATCCTCAGACATAAATTTATACTCATTTGATTTGATACGAGTTTTGATTTTGTTTTAAAAAATACTTCATCTGTCTCACTTAAATTGTCCTATTTAGTTTAGGCATAAGATTTTATATATTGTTCAATTAGTAAGTAATTAAAAAAAGGTGTTAGTAAAAATAATTATAATTTAATAAAAATAATTATAAATTAAGTTTAAGATGACTAGCTAATTAAAATTAAAAAAATTATAAATTTGAATTTTAAAATGTGATTAAAGTGTATAATTATATTTCCAAAAAAAGAAAGGACAAATTATGTGGAACGAAGGAAAATAAAAATACGAGACAAATTCAATGGTACTCTCTCCGTCCCTGCCGCTACAAATGATTATTTTCTTTCTTTGTCCGATCCACAAAAGACGATTCATTTCTATTTTTGATAAACTTATCAATTTTAAATACACTTAACAAATATAAATCAATTTAATTAAATAACTAATCCGTATTATCTAAATAATTAATATATATTGTCTAAATTCTTGTATCCAAACAAAACGTATCATCTTAAATGAAATGGAGAAAGTATCATATTTAAAATGTACGGAAAAAAAAAAAAAAAAAACCACTTTGAAGGTGTATGATTTTTTATTAAAAAATAATACTATTTCCGTCCCAAAACTATAATTTGGGTTGTGTTTGGTACGAGATTTAAGGAATATTGATATTATATTGGTAGTGGGTAAAAAAATTCGGATAAAAGACTTTTTTGCCCTTGTGAGTGTATAAGTGTAAAAAGTAGTGACAATTGTGTAATAATAATGAAAAAGTAGGGATAACTTTATAGTGATATAGTTATTTATAAAAATGAGATTATTATTTTAGAACAGATAAAAATAGTAAACAGGAGTATTGTATTGAAACAAGGAGTATTGTAATTTTATTAAAATTGAATACTGCTAATTTGAATTTGAAAATTAGAATACAACTAATAATTACTCCTTTTTCCCTTTATTATTTTACTTTTTAATTTCTTTATTAGTAAATATATTAATCTTTATGTCTCATATATTATGTCATAATTTTTATTTGTTTATTTTATATTTTATGTTATTTTTTAAAAAATAATTATATATTTTAATTATATCTTAAAATTTAATTATATAAATTAATTATTATCATTTTATTTTATAATTATTTTATTAATATATTCTTAATTATTTACGTATCTATGCTAGATAAGAGTATCCGTTACTATTATCTTCATTATTTTTCTCATTACCTTATTAGTTTTTACTATAATAAAATGTGTATTAGAAAATACAGTTAATAATAATTTATTACTTTTATCAAGAACTTATTACCTTTAAAAAAATAATAAAAAAATAATTGTTTAATTAATTATAACTTAAAATTTAAATTTTAAAATTTCAAATTATCAATATATATTTTACCAATACAAATTCAAATTTATTTCAATAAAAAATTTTATATATCTAATTTTAACATTTAAAATTTTAAATGTTTTTATATTCAATTTTTCTTTAACTAATTCTTTAATAAAACTATCGGAAACGAAAATTTATTCGGACAATATATTAATTCGAGTTTATTTCAATCATTCGGTTTTTTAAATGTCATTAATTTTACAAATTCGAATAATTTTAATATTTCATAATATAAAAATTTATATAATATTATTATAGTTTATATAAATTAATATTTTAAAAATAAAATATAATATTACATAATAAATATTATTTATATATTATTAGATACTAAAAATATATATAAATAAATAATTGTGATGAATTTTATAAAATTGTAAAAGTAATAGATAAAAGTATTGATACTATAACATGTGTCAGAAAAAAATAATTTAAATTATAATATAAATATAATGCGGAAAAGAGATATAAAAGAGATAATAAGGTAGAAACACTAGGGTGTGTTTGTTTGGGGAATTGGATTGGATTTACACTATTTATCCAATTTTTTCCCTTCAAAAACATCAAATCAAACACCTATTTTTTATTTTTTATATTATACTAAAAATCAATTTTACATTTAAAACATCACATCAACACCTATTTATATCACATTATATAACTATTCAAATCTCAACTCAAAATCCAAAACTGGAACAAACACACCCTAAGTGTAGACAAATGCTCTAAGAGAGTAAAAAAGAAGCAGTGATCACATTGACCCGACATGGCACCGCGTTGACCCATAGATATATGATAATTAATACACAATACATACGCGCGAACAATCCTTTCCTTACCATTTACGACAGATTTCTTGCAATGCACGTAGGCTTCTTACCAAATTAATTATTTCGACAAAATTAACATTAATCTTCACAAAAATCCTAGTTGGATGGATCATCTTTATTCCATGCATTCACGTCGGTTAAATTACACCGCCATTGAAGGGGACCTTCCAAGAACCCTAACATCTCAAATTTAAAAATCCATTCCACACACAATCCCTATATATATATATGTATAAATACACACATGATTACATACATTTTGTATCATACTTCTAAATATATATCTCGACGAAGCAATGGCATCAATCGTTGGAGCTAAAGTGGAATGTATGGACCGTCTACTGTTGATCGACGACGCTATAACCGCGTCGAATCGACGGAGATGGCGAATGGCTTTCGTTGTAATATATTGCTCGAGAGCCTTCGATCTCTCTCGCTTCCGCCGCGCCGCCACGCCGAAATTAACGACTTCGTCGGAAAAGGTTGTTATCGAGGTTTCCGAGAAACATCCTTTGTTCTCGAGCATCGATCGATTGAGCCTCTCAAATCTCGTCAAGGGTAAGAGCGCGCGCCATTTGGCTCGACTCGGAGGGGTCAAAGGGATTTCCGTGTCGCTCAAGACAGATCGATGGCACGGGATTAACGACGATGACGATCCGAAAAATGTTGCGGCGAGACGCGAAGCTTTCGGTAGCAATAGTTATAAGAAACCCGCGGCGAAGAGCTTCGTTGGTTTCGTATGGGAGGCTTTTAAGGATCCGACGATCGTCGTTCTACTTGCGTGCGCCGCGCTCTCCCTCGGATTCGGTATTAAGCAACACGGTCCGACGGAAGGTTGGTACGATGGGGGGAGCATATTTATCGCGGTGTTTCTCGTCGTATCGGTTTCGTCGGTGAGTAATTTCCGGCAGAGTCGACAGTTCGAGAAGCTTTCGAAGGTAAGCGGTGATATTTCCGTAGAAGTCGTGAGGAGTGGGAGGCGGCAGAAGATCTCGATTTTTGACGTTGTTGTGGGAGATGTCGTTTGCTTGAAGATCGGCGATCAAGTTCCTGCCGACGGGTTGTTTGTCGACGGGTATTCTTTACAAGTCGACGAATCGAGCATGACGGGGGAGAGCGATCACGTCGAGGTCGAATATAAAGCAAATCCGTTCTTGTTTTCGGGGACTAAGATCGTCGACGGCTACGGAAAAATGCTCGTCACTTCCGTCGGGATGAACACGACGTGGGGCGAAATGATGAGCACGATAAGCCGGGATTCAGACGAGGAGACACCGTTGCAATCGCGGCTCAACGGTTTGACATCGTCGATCGGGAAGGTCGGTTTGGCCATAGCGTTCGCGGTTCTCGTCGTGCTTCTTGTTCGATACTTCACGGGGAATACGAAGAACGAGAGAGGGGATACTGAGTTCGTCGGCGGTAGGACTAATGCGAACGACATTGTCGACGCCGTGGTTCGAATTGTCGCCGCGGCCGTGACGATCGTCGTCGTCGCGATCCCCGAAGGGCTACCGTTGGCGGTGACGCTAACGTTGGCGTACTCGATGAAACGAATGATGGCGGATCAGGCAATGGTGAGGAAACTCTCGGCTTGCGAGACGATGGGCTCGGCGACGACGATATGTACCGATAAAACGGGGACGCTTACGACGAATCAAATGAAAGTAACGAAGTTTTGGCAAGGGAAGGAAGATCGCACGACGATCGCCGGAGAAGTTGTCGAGTTGCTCCGGCAAGGAGTCGGGCTCAACACAATGGGGGGCGTTTACGAGTCGGGAGCTGGATTCGAATTCTCCGGTAGCCCGACGGAGAAGGCGATACTATCGTGGGCAGTTCTCGAGCTGAAAATGGACATCGACGCCGTGCAAAAGAATTACGCGATTCTTAACGTCGAAACATTCAACTCGGAGAAAAAAAGGAGCGGCGTTTTGACGAGGAAGATCGACGACGATTCGCGCCACGTTCATTGGAAAGGCGCTGCAGAAATGATACTCGCGATGTGCTCGTCTTACTACGATTCGGATGGGAAAATGAAACTGCTCGATAGCGACGAAATGGTGCGATTCAATCGTATAATCGAAGGAATGGCCGCCGGAAGTCTTCGATGCATAGGGTTCGCCCATAGTCGGATTTCAGAAATCGCCGAAGAGGATATCACGATTCGTGACGACGGTTTAACTCTCCTCGGATTAGTCGGGCTTAAAGATCCTTGCCGTCCTGGCGCGAAGAAAGCCGTCGAAGATTGCCAACACGCCGGAGTTAATGTCAAGATGATAACTGGCGACAATATTTTCACGGCGAAGGCTATCGCGACGGAGTGCGGAATACTTTCCTGCAATCAAGAAGCGACCGATGGATCAGTAATCGAAGGATTAGAGTTCCGAAACTACTCCGACGAGGAGCGAATGGCGCGAGTCGACAAAATCTGCGTAATGGCGCGATCGTCACCGTTCGACAAGCTTCTAATCGTCGAATGCCTCAAGAAAAAAGGCCACGTCGTCGCTGTGACGGGGGACGGCACGAACGATGCGCCGGCGTTGAAGGAAGCGGATATCGGCCTTTCGATGGGAATCCAAGGAACGGAAGTCGCGAAAGAAAGCTCGGACATCGTCATCCTCGACGACAACTTTGCCACCGTCGCGACGGTTTTACGGTGGGGGAGATGTGTCTACGACAACATCCAAAAGTTCGTACAATTTCAGCTCACCGTAAACGTCGCGGCGTTGGCGATCAATTTCGTCGCGGCGATCTCCGCCGGCGAGGTGCCGTTGACGGCGGTGCAATTGTTGTGGCTAAATCTCATAATGGATACGCTCGGCGCGTTGGCGCTCGCGACGGAGCGGCCGACGAGGGAGCTAATGGAGAAGAATCCGGTCGGGCGATCCAAGCCGCTCATCACGAACGTGATGTGGCGGAATCTGACCGCGCAAGCATTCTACCAAATCTCTATTCTGCTGACCCTCCAGTTCGGCGGCGAATCGATTTTCGGCGTGACGGAGAAGGTGAACGATACAATGATTTTTAACGCATTCGTTTTGTGTCAAGTTTTTAACGAATTTAACGCGCGAAAGCTTGAGAAAAAGAATATTTTCGAGGGGGTTTTAGGGAATAAGGCGTTCGTCGGAATCGTGGCTGCGACGGTGGCGCTGCAGGTGGTGATGGTGGAGGTTTTGAAGAAGTTTGCGGATACGGAGAGGCTGAGTTTGGGAGAATGGGGAATTTGTGTGGGAATTGCGGCTGTGACTTGGCCTGTTGGTTGGGCGGTGAAGTTTGTGCCGGTGCCGGAGACGCCATTGTTGAGTTATTTCAGTTTGAAGAAGCTCAGAAGGGATGGGAGGTAGAAGATGAAGTCTGTTATTTGTGGTTGAAGTATGTTTATTTAGTTATTTATTTATGAGAAAATTATTATTTGGATTGTTGATTTTTTCATTTGAATTTTAATATAAATACATTTTATCTTTGTAAATACATTTTACTCTTCTATTATATGTAGAATTGCAAAATTGTTCTGGCATAATTTTCGACTATGGTCACTATGTATATAATTGTGTATAGTTTCTATAGTACATTATTAGAGTATTTACCATTATTTTCCCTCATTAAAAAATTAATAATAAAAGAGTAAATGATTTTTAAGTCAGGTAACTCGTTTCTTTTATTATTTTAGTATGGTAAATGGAGTTTGTATTGAAATAATTCTACAAGTGATTTTTTTTGGAATGGTCTTTCAGCGCTGAACATGCGTGCGTGGCTCGCCAAAATATATGTATTTTACGAGGTAAGCTCAATCTGACGGACACGTGAAATATTAATTTTTAGGGAAAATTAACTTTTTAGTCTTGTAATTACAACTTTTAGGAAAATAATTTTGTAAGTATTTTTTTTTTTTTCACAATTAGTCATCTGGTCAGATAGCAGCTATCCTCGTGGATATGTAATTTTTTTTTTTTTAATTTTTTAAAATTTGTACAATACCGAAAATAAAAAGATTTTTTAAAAAAGAAAATCATATGTCCGCTAGGTAGGCCCGCTACACCTAGCTGCTGGATATGTGTGCTTCAGTGTGACATGTGTTCATCACTTGAAATAAGGAAAAATACTCCCTCCGTTTCACATACCATGTCCACGTTGTCGTTTATGTCCGTCCCATATTCCACGTCACTTTCATTTTTTGGAAAATAATTACACACTTTAATCTCATTTTAAACTTTTTAATTTATTTTTTTTATTTTAATTAAACTAATTAGTTATCTTAATCTTAATTTATAATTATTTATATTATAAGATAATTATTTTCACTAATACATTCTTAATTATCTCCTAATTACACCCCTTCTAAAATATCGTGTCTAAAGTATAGCAGACACGGTATATAGGATGGAGGGAGTAATATTTTTTATAGAAAGTAAGGGTGTGTTGATGAACTTGTGGCACGCTGGAGCACACACGTCCGCTAGGTAGGTGCCACCTAAAGGATACGTGAATTTATTTTTCAATTAATTAATTTATTTTTATTTATTTTTGGTATTTTGTTCAAATTTAAATAAAAAAGATTCACGTGTCCACCAAGCGTTTATTTGGCGGACATATATGTACTTCGGCGTGCCACGCAGGTATCATGTACGCATCTCCAGCGCCATATGACCAATTGTGTAAAAAAAATCACTTATGAAACTATTTTTATACAAACTCCAGTACGACATTAAAATGATAAGGAGAATTAATTATGAGACTAAAAAATAATTTTCTCAAAAAAATTGATATTCCAAGTGTCCGCCGTGTGGTTCTTATCTGGCAGACATGTGTCTCTTGGCTTGCCACGCAAGCATTTTTGGATCCGAAAAATCAAATATGCCAAAAAAAATTTCATTTAAATGACTATTTCAATACAACCTCCAATGGACTGAGGAATAATAAATTGGATCAATTACTAAACTAAAAAAATCAATTTACCCAAATAAATTTATGGGCAATAGAGCATTTAAAATTTATTATCATCTAGTTTTTTGAAATCATGCAACGTGAGTTCAGGAGTATATAAAAAAATTATTTATTTATATTTAAATAAGAAAAAGATAATAACAAGAAAACTTATTTTTAAGTTCTCTTTCATTCTCAAATTAATTTAGGACAAACACGTATAATTATAGAATTCTTTTAGTAGATTTTCAGGAAAAAAAAAAAAAGAAGTGCACATATTATTGACATTTAATCTATTCAATAAATTTAACATCTATTCATTTTCGGATATTACATGCTCTTCGACAAATTCAACTCCTGAGTTTAACCATGAATAGATATTTATTTTGATAATTTTAGAAAAAAATTGAAAAAATAAAATAAAATAATTCAATAAAACATGAGGTTTAGGCTGCTCTAATTTCATTTAATTCAATAAAAAAAGGGGTATGAGTGTCATCTAAAGAAGAAATGCATCCTATCACCTTTCATTTAATAATTAATCACAAACTTTATAGACATTGTCACAAACTTAAATTAAAGATTTATTTTTTATTTGGGATACTAAACTAAAAATTAAATTTATATTCAAAATAATATAAAATTACTTATTTATATTATATTAAATAATTATTTAAATTTTAAATTTTATTATTTATAATTTGGTAAATTATATAATAATCTCTTGTGTTTTTAGTAAAATTCACAAAACATCTTTTGTTTTATTTATTACGTGAAATTCTTTTGTGTTAATATAAACTTTGCGCGAAACACCTCTTTGTCCAAAAATGATTTTGGTTCTAAATAAAGACCTAAATTACGCAAATTTTATAAAAATAAAAAATGTAAAATATTTTAAATATTTTTTTAATAAAATAAATAAATAATTGATAAATAATTTAATTTTATAAATTTTTAAAAATCAGATAACAATTTGTCTCCAAAAAACTATAAAATGAATGATTAATCAATTATTTATTTATTTAATTCAAAAAACTTAGTTAAAATATTATATATTTTTTATTTGTTTAAAACTTGCATAATTTAATTTAGGTCTTTATTAAGAATCAAATATCAGTTTTGGACAAGAATGATGTTTCATACAAAATTTACATTAATACAAAAGAGTTTCACGCAATAAATAAAATACAATGTATTTTGTGCAATTTTACTAAAATATAAGAAGATGTTTTATAATTTATCATTTACCCTTTATAATACACGAACAAACAAACCCTAAACTTCTTGTAAAAGTTTATTTGAGTTTTTGGGCCGAATAGACTTTGAATGATCACAGAAATTTTGATTTTGTCAGTCTAATAAATCATAAGCCTATTCAAATAATTGCATTTTTATTTATTTATTTATTTTATTATTCAATATATGTCCAAAATTATGTAATAACTAAATTAAGAATTTTCATATAACTAAAATTTAATTATACTCTGAACCGTAATTATGATTATGATTTTATTTCATTTTCTTAATCAAGATGTATTCTTTAATTATGATTTTTTTTTAAATTTTCGAATAAGAAGTGTTTTCAATTGAAAAGTGTATATAAATAGGACCAATTCCTTAGACATTTGATGAATTTTTATTATGTTTTTATGGATTTTTTCATCAAAATACAAGTCCTTCGTTTTTTTCCCCTTATGTTATACAGTTATACACCATATTCCTTGATAATTTGGCCTCTGCCGCCTGCGGCTCCTCCTCCGCTGCCTCTACCATTACAACCGGAGGAGGCGCTGCAACAGTAAACCTAGCATCCGCTTCCTCTTCATTTGTTTTCTCCACGCCATATATCTCTATCGCTGGCTGAGTTAGCGTTTTCTTTTTCTTGGATCTTGTGGATTCAAGAAAGTGAAAAGTGAGAGGGAATTGAAATCGTAATGACGTTTGTGTAATATGTTGTAAGTTGTAAGTGTATTTGTAATATTAGGTAGATGGTACAATTACTAAAAAAATGAAACAGAATTTTGTTATGGGACGGACCAAAATAAAAAAATGAATAATTTTTTATGGGACCGAGGAAGTATGGTTTTGATCATGTTTTCTTGGTCTATAAATAGTAAAGTATAAAATTTGTAATATGTTCTACAAATTTTTAAAAAATATAAGAAAAAGATATTATATATTCTATATTTTTTAAAAATCTTTGAAAAAGAATAATATTGTGTTTCATGTATTTTTTTTTTCCTTTTGTAAAACATAGAGATTTTATTTTAATTTTTACAATTGTACTAACAAAATACTAAATTCTAAAAAAAAAGTACAACAATCATTTAAATGAATTGATTAAATAAAGGGTTGATTTTACTAAATTAATTAAATAGATAATATTATTATAGATGGTTTTATTTTATTTTATTTATTTTTTATATTATTTTTTTATAACGTGGGAATCCACAGCTGCTACCAGAAGGTACTCACTGGATAAACTTCCGAACGAACCTAATACCCTGCAAATTAGGCCCAACATGCAAGTCACACTAGACTTTAGAGATGACTTTATCTGATTGGATGAAACAAAGGACATAGAAAAAATAAGAATAGAGAATTTGAACCACAATAAACCATATAGCAAAATCTTCTCTAAAAACAAACTGCAAATGAGAAGTGATTTTCTATGTAATTTTTAAACCTTATAGTAAACAAATAAAATATATTTTCCAAATAATTGGAAGATGTATGAAATATTAAAAGAATTGCTGAAATAAAAATCCAAATGTTAATTTTGTAATTTTTTTTATTTTGAAAAATAAATTATTATTTATAACCCCTTAATTTAGGTACTTATAATTTACTAAACTAAGTATTTATCAGATTATTTTATCCTTAGCATAAATATCAACCATTGATATATATTTTTGTATATTATATGAATCATATTATTGGTTTATTATAAAGTATTTATGTTTATATATATATATATATATATTTAGAAAAGAAGGTTAATGTAATACGTGACAATTTTATCAATTTAAAATAATTTTTATAAAGTTATATTACATGAATAATATTATTGAGAATTAATTATTTTATACATTTATAAGATCTAGTATACAATAAATTAATAATAAATAAAACGCATATAATAGAGAAATTTAAGTTTCATCATAATTTCCTATAAAAATATATACTCTCTCTTCGTCTCAGCTAATTTGTCTACTTTAGCTGAGGTACGGAGTTTTATGTATGATATAATTAGTAAGTAATTAAGAAGTTTATTAATAAAAATAATTATAAATTATGATTAAAATGATTAAATAGTTTAATTAAAATACAAAAGTTATAAATTATGAATTTTGAAATATGATTAAAGTGTATAATTATATTTTTGAAAAAGAAAAAAACAATATATGTGAGACAGACATATATGAAAATAATGGACAAATTAAATGGAATAGAGGTAGTATTATTTTATTTTGAAAAATATCATATGAAAGTATATTTAAACAAAAATTCCTGAAAAAACACATTCATTTAAAAAAAGTGAACAAACTCATTGTAATA